CCTTCAATAATAAATTCATAATTAATAACAAGATAAATCTTATTAATATAATTATTGATTCGGGTCATACCTTCAGCAAGGAGGTCATGCACAATTACTTGTAATTCTTGGACTTGAGTTATGACCGACCTAGTGTCAACCATCTTGAAATCCAAAAATTTTGCAGCCACGAACTTCTTAAGTCCGGCATCCTCAGTCTTGTACTTCTTCTCAAGCGCATTCCATAACGTTTTTGAAGTTTCCATGACACTATAGACATTGTACAAGCTATCTTCCAAACAACTCAAAATGTACTTTTTGCACAAGAAATCAGAATGTTTCCATGCTTCAGTTACAACAAATCGTTCATCATCCGGAGTGCCTTCAGCCACGACCGGAGGATCCTCCTTGATGAATCGCTGCAAACCCAACGTAGTAAGATAGAAAAGCATCTTCATTTGCCAACGTTTGAAGTCAATACCGGAAAACTTTCTGGGTTTTTCTGCTGGTGCCATAGCATGAGCAGGAGTTGAACGACTCAACGAGGCAGCAACACTCGTAACAGTAGCACCCGTTCCATTAGCATTAGTTTGGTCCTCATTTGCCATTTTTCTGTAAAGTTGGCAACAAACAAAACTTTATAAAATCAGTGAAGGTTTTATATCTTCAAACTGAACACCAAACCAAACATTCAAAATATAAACGGTGAAGTTTATTATATTCTTCAAACCGTATTCAAATTTAATACCCCGGTAAAGTTTTTATGTTCTTTAAACCGGAGTAAAAAATATATCGGAGTAGAAAGCACCAATGCTTTAGTCTCCAAACCAGTATACAAAGTATAGATAACAGTTCAATATTTCAGCACAGAAACGTATATAAGATTCCTTAAGCTTGTTGTCGCTACTGTGTTAAAACAGATTTTAGAAAAACTGTTAGAAGAAATTAAAAACTGTAAATGATAAGAAGTATTCCGAGTCCACAATTTTCTTGTACGTCCTTAAGGAATTTTAACCCCCTCACAAGTTGCCAAGGTAATGGATTAAATCCTCCCAGGATGAAATGGAATAAACCTTCCTGCAACAGTGGCAATACAAACTGTAGGATACCAACGAACTCAAAGAACGGAGCAAAATCACACTTACGAATTTGAAAGAGAAACTACGAAGTAGAATGCAAGAGTTTCAGAAAGAAGGAAGTTCTGTATTTTTCAGTGTATGAAAAGGAAGCCATGCCTCGGAATTTATAGGCAATTGTCGGAAGAGGTGTGTCTGTTCATCATGTGAACAGATATTTGAAAGGAAGAGGTGTCTGTTCAAAAGGGAAAACCAACGTTCATAATTCCGTTAATGAACTGACTGGTACTTAGCGTTTTGGATTCCAGTTAATTCTGTTAATGAACTAAATAGCACTTAATTAATTCTTAAATAATTAATTAAATAAAATTTGTCAAAAAATTAATCTCATCAATCGATCATTTGACAAATCCAAATTCAAATCCGAATCCGAAGCCGAAGCCGAAGCCGAAGCCGAAGCCGAGCCGAGCGACGACGACGGCGCGAGGCTTCATTCTCTTCAACTCCTTTTAAGAGCTCTAAGAAGTGATCCTATATTTATACACACAAATGTAGTTGTCCCTCACCAATGAGGGACAAAGTTCATTTGACAAAGCTCACTTGATTCAAATTTTCCAAATTTTTATTTTCCTCTATTTTATTTCCCACCAATTCCCAATTCACACTTCTAGTCTTTAAAGCCCAATGGCTTAAAGTCCAACAGATAGTTAGTAGGATATTCCTCGAGAAGGGCAGCCCGATGCACGAAGTATCACGTATTCACATACATGGTCCGAGAAAGGGTTGCATCCCAAGGAGTAAGCGCATACAGCGTAATCGTGATTGTATGTGTTGATACAACCAAACCTAAGTTAGTTGTTTGTATCCCTCAATGTACAGACTATATATGTATTTTGATTTCACATATGGAATGTATTTCTCATTCATGTATATAGATGTATATTGTATTGACTGTAGTTTGCGCGAATGTATACATCAAAAATATATTCACTGATACAGCCATATGCGCTAACGAATACAGTTGATACAAGTTGCGCGATTGTATGCGTTGATACAGCGAAATTGATACATTAGCTACGAACGGTAATTGGGCAAACTATAATTACATACGATAATTAAGTTCTAAACTATAGTACTTTATGAAAATTCCTCTAACTCAAATAACGTGTATGGGCCAGTTATTGGGAAACTTACACAAATGTCTAAAATAAGTCTCAACTTACCAACCTCTAGCCATTAGTCATAGACTTACCAACACTATCCAAGCACATATAAAAATTGAAAAATCAAATAAATAAGGTTCTTTCTCTCAAAGAATCACATGAAAAAATCTCCTTCCATATTTTTAGGCGTGATTAGCAATATTAGATGCAAGACAGAAAGTAAATTTTATGGATGAGGTAGTAAATAAGGTGATGAAATACAAAAAAAAATACAATATTCCAAAAATCTAAACAAAAAGGGAACTTTTTCAATGGGTATAGTTGAAATTCATTGAAAACATATAAATAAGTCAATATACAAAATTTGAGGAAGATTGGAGGTAATTTGGACTGTTTTGTATCAAAATTCGTAATTAAATCGAGTTCAAAATATTCTTCTGCGACACATGTATCACGCATGTATCTCACACACAGGTATACAGGGATATACATATGATACACAATTGATACAAATATGATATATATGTGATTTTATGATACACAGTGTGATACACATATCATTTTTTTTCATGTTCAGTTTTTACTTCGAATTTTCAATTCAAACCACCTCAAAACTTCACCAAATCATCCAAAACTGAGATTCAAGCTCTTTAAGAAGTACCCAATCTATTCTAATAACACCCACTCAAAAGAAAACAAAATTTTGACCTTTTTTTGTTACAAAATAGCTAATTGGTTAATATTAGTAATTTTTTATTAATTGACCAATTTTTGTAATGAGCTACTTATAAATTGACATAGCTGGTAGTTTCTTCCAATTATTGGAAGAGAAACTTTCAGAAACCACTATGTTTTAGTGGTTACTAGCTAGTTGTAGCTACCATTTACTATATTACTTCCTATAGCTTTGTTTTCAGATTATTTAGAGTGTATTCGATGTATTTAATCTACTGTATTCATGAATACAGTAGCATTTCTAGGCGTGAAACAGGGGATTACAGCTAGACAGATTTTTTTATCCGAGTGTATTCGACTGTATTCATGGCGTGAAACATGGGATTACAGTTGGACAGATTATTGTATTCGAATGTATTCACGACGTGAAACAGGGGATTACACTGTTTTTAAACGGAAAGTGAATCAATTAACATAATAGACTCCTAATATAACTCAAGAAACTCAATTATAACATACACATTTTGTATTTCCAGTTATAAAAAAGATTCTCAACCGAAAAATACCCCAAAAATATAGCAATCTTCAGAGAAATTATATAATACATCTGAATACATAAATTATATTAATTAAAAAAATATATGAATACATTCATGGAATACAACGAGATAGTGAATACAATGAAATACATGGAATACAGCGAGATACATTGAAATACAATAAAAAAAAAAGACAATGAATACAATAAAATAGATGGAAATACAACGAGATACATTGAAATATATTAACAGAATATTCAAGTTGCTCAGCCCCAAACAATGTCGTCTTCGTTCCTCTTTTTTTGCAACTGTTGTTCGTTCCCTTTTCTTGGGGTGGTGACTGGAGGTTGTTAATGGAGTGGGCTGCTATCAGCTTTCTTTTTGGAATTCAAGGATGATGATCCTCTCTTAGGAAGGTGGGCGGATGATCAGGTTTGTGAGGGGTGGAGTGTTGGGCGTTCTTGGAGAAGGGGAATGGGAATGACGACTGCTGCTCTCTCAAGAAGGAGGAGATCTATCCTCCATTGAAGAGAATGAGAACGAGATGGGGCTGCTGGTGGGTGAGAGATTGGGGGTGGGCAGCTTTATTAGGGGTCCTCAGCTGAAGCTTTTGGTTAGGGATAGGAGAAATTTGAGTGGAGAGAGAAAAATAATACAAAGCTTATTTTATGGCGGTAGGAGGTAACCATATATAGATATTTGGCTATAAAAAATCAAAAGGTAGCTATGGAATATAATTTTTTAAAAGGATATTTATTTAAAATAAATAAGGTATCAACTTTTGCTGTAGGAGGTAACTAATCCTATTTGGAAAGAGGTTGTTGGGCTGGGGACTAAACTGCGAAGAGGCCCAAGAATTAGACAGCCCAACAAGAGAATTGTTTGGGGTCCGGGTTAAGGAAGCTCGTGACAAAGGAAATAAAAGGGTTATCATCTGTGGGTTTAGGATTAGGTAAATTACTTCTCATCTGTTTCTGTCTAAGCTTCTAAAAAATCTCCTTCTATCAGTGTATTTCTGTCTTCTCATCCATCTCTGCTATCTAATTTTAACCATTCTTTTACTGTTTCACTAAAATTTTCAGTTGTTTGTAATTTCATTCAGTGAATCAATATAGCCAAGTTAGTTTGGTACTTTGGGGGTGATTTGGTTTGTTTCATTTTCAGTCCTTCCAGGAATTCTGAAGAAATCAGCTAACCATGGAGATTTGCCATGGATGAGAAGCTGTAAATTTAGGTTAGAGAGAAGAAATGTAGTTCGATATTTCAGAGGAAGAAGAAGAAGAAGATGTATTGATTCAACTGTTCTCAGTATCTGTACATGCAAATATATAAAATTAACTCTAATCCTTAACTAGAGTTAAAACCAAAGCTAACTTGGGTTACACTAACTATGTTCTAAGGTAAGTTAGTTACAACTATCTAACTAACTAATGAAACTTAACCACCACAATCATTACTAATCTCAACACTCCCCCTCAAGCTGATGTGTATGAACAAATTTTCAACCCCCAGCTTGCTAAGCAAAGAATAGTGCTGGACCTTCCCTAGACCTTTAGTAAGTATATCTACTAATTGCAATTTGGTGTTAAGAGGCCCTGTTGCAGCTTTTCTCGCACAAAATGACAATCAATGTCAATGTGTTTTGTCCGCTCATGAAAAATGGGATTTGCAGCTATATGAATGGCTGTTTTACTGTCACAATGCAAGGGAATAGGCAATTGAATCTAGATTCCCAACTCTTTGAATAGTCCTACTAACCATGACACTTCTGCCATTGTGGAGGCCATACTTCTGAACTCTGCTTCTGCTGAACTTCTGGAGACTGTGTTTTGTTTCTTAGACTTCTGTGATATCAAGGAATTGCCAAATTTGATTAGATACCCTGTGCCTGATTTCCTGGACTAAGGACAAAAAGCCAGTTTGAGTCACAAAATGCAACCAAGCTTTCAGACTGCTGTGAAGGCATCAATAAGCCTAATCCTGGTGCATTTTTGACATACCTGATCACCCTCAATGCTACATCCATATGCGATCTCTTAGGTTTATGCATGAATTGACTGAGAGCCTGAACAACATAGGCTATATCAGGCCTTGTCATAGTTAAGTATAGCAACCTGCCCACTAACCTTTGATAAGGTTCAGGATCAGGTAACACATTGTCCTTCACTCCTGCACTTGTGGCATCCTCAGAACCCAAGACAACTTCATCAAATTTTGTTGTAGTCAACCTTTAATGGAGTGGATGCTGGCTTAGCTCCCCCTAGCCGAGAATCAGCTATCAAGTCAAGTGCATATTTCCTCTGGTTCATCAGAATGCCAGCCTTGCTGCGAGCAAATTCTATGCCCAAAAAGAATCTGAGCTCCCCCAAATCTTTCATTTAAACTTCTTCTGCAGATTTTCCCTAGCAGACTGAATTAGGTTAGGATCATTTCCTGTAAATAGGAGGTCATCTACATAGACTAGAATGACAACCAAAGCTGACCCTCTCTGTTACGTAAACAAAGAGTAGTCAAAATGACTTTGAACAAATCCCAAATCTCTAAGGGCTTCTGTCAACTTCAAGTTCCATTGTCTTGAAGCTTGCTTCAACCCATAGAGCGACTTCTTTAGCTTGCACACCTTGTTCTTGGACTCCCCCTTGATGTTGTACCCTTGTGGTAGATGCATGTACACTTCTTCAAATAAGTCACCTTGCAAGAATGCATTGTGCACATCCATTTGATAAATGTGCCAATGTTTAGAGGTTGCTACTGCTATGACTGATCTAACAGTGACCATCTTGGCCACTGGAAAAATGTTTCCTTGTAGTCTAGGCCTTCCTTTTGACTGAAACCTTTGGCTACAAGTCTAGCTTTGAGTCTCTCCACCTTACCGTCAGCTTGGTACTTCACTTTGTATATCCATTTGCATCCTATAGGAACTTTATGTGCAGGCAGATCAATAACATCCCATGTGTTGTTTTCTTTTAATAGTGTGACTTCTTGTTGTATAGCAGCTACCCATATTTCATCTTTTGAAGCTTCATGATAATGCTTGGGCTCAACTATAGAGGATTGAGCTGACAAACATCTAACATAAGAAGGAGATAACCTATCATTTAGTCTGACATAGGATATGCACAAGATGTGGACACAAAGTCCTGCAACCATTTTGGTGGTCCTGCAGTTCTGGGATGTTTTCTGACTGCAATTGGTAGTGCATCATCCACATCTTGCAAATGTAAAGACTCAGTTTGCAATTGTGGTACAACATCAGGAGCAACACCGTCAACAACTGGTACAGGAGGAGTACTAAGTGGAGTGTCTGGCTCTTCAGTGTCTGCTTCATTCCTTTGTTCAGCATCACTATCATGGTCTGCAGTATGATCATCTGCTAAATCTTCATACAATATTTCTGAAGTATTTGGTACATCAGCTGGCTCAAGTACTGGAAAGAATGGAACGGTGATAGCTTTATTTGTCTGAAAGGAAATATATGTTCCTTAAAGACAACATCCCTGCTAACAATAAACTGTTTAGATTGCAGATCATACAATTTGTAGCCCTTTTTAGTTGGAGAATACCCCATAAACACTATAGGTAAAGCTCTGGCCTCCGTATTCACAGCATAACATAAGCAGCCAGACACTCTCATATGGTCTAAAGAAGGTTTAGTATTAAACAGCTTTTCATATGGAGATTTACCCTTTAAAACTATAGAGGGTAACCTATTTATGATATGTACTGCTATAAGGACACACTCACCCCAAAATCTTAGAGGGATGGCAGCCTGGAACCTTAAGGCTCTTGCCACTTCTAGAATATATCTATGTCTCCTCTCCACAATACCATTCTGTTGTAGAGTGTACACACATGTTGTTTGATGAACAATTCCCTGTGACTCCAAGAAGTGTTTCACATCTGAATTAACAAATTCTGATCCATTGTCTGTTCTTATAGCTCTAACAGAACAATTAAACTGTGTGTGAATCATGGAAATCAGTCCTTTCATCAACTAATAGGTTTCATCTTTGGCATTCATCAGAAACAACCAAGTGGTTCTAGAGAAGTCATCAACAACTGTAAGAAAAAATCTTTTATTGTCATATGTAGGCACCCTGTAAGGCCCCCATACATCTGCATGTAAAAGATCAAATGGACTCTTTGCTCTACTAGTACTGACTGGAAATGACAACTTAGTTTGCCTGGCTAATGGACAAACAGAACAATCAAAACATACAACCTCTGAACTTTCTTTTCTGAAATGCTGTTTGAGCTTGCTAATTTTCTTAATAGCTTCCATAGGCAGATGTCCAAGTCTTTGATGCCAGACCTCCAGGTTTATTGAGCTCTACTTATTCTGTGTTGAAATCTTCATAGCTGTGGTATTTACAGTTGGTGTAGATGGTTGTTTCTCATGAAGAAAGCTCCTAAGAATGTATAGCCCATTAGCTTCACTACCAATCCCCAACATCTTGCCAGTGTAGAGGTCCTGAAACACACATAGATCAGGAAAGAATGCAACCAAGCATTGCAACTCCTTAGTAAGCTTTGAAACTAATAGTAGGTTATACCTAAAATGTGGAACATGAAGTACATCACAAATCTTGCAATCCTTGAAAATATTAGTTGATCCTCTGTGAGTGATTTTAGCTAGATTTCCATTTGGTAAGTGAACTGAGCTACTACTTTTTAATGGAACTGTATTATTCAATAAGTCAATCTTTGAGGTCATGTGATTGGAGGCTCCACTGTCTACAATCCAGTCTCCCTGGTTCAAAAAAGCCATTAGACTTGTGATATTACCTGACTCAAGATCTGCTGCATTAGCTGTGACCTCTGTAGGCTTGCTATTGAGAAGTTGCAAAATCTGCTGGTACTGTTCTGGAGTGAAAGTTTGTGCAGTAGGAGTCGGAATGCATCCTGCAGGTGCAGTCTATTCAACTGCTATGTTAGTTGCTGCTTGTGTGTTGTACTTCTTCCTGAACTTGTTATCATTTGGATACCCCACTATTTTGTAACAAACTTCCTTAGTACGGCCCTTCATCTTGCAAAAATCACAGAAGAGGTCGTAATTCTTCCTCATTTTCTGCTGATTTCCAGCCTTATTAGCCATCAATGCTGTCATTTCAGCATTATCCATGTTAGCAGAAACACTTGCCATAGTCCTTTGGCTTTCACGTTCCATTAGCATAGAATATGCCTTGTTCACTGATGGCACTGGTACCATCATCAAGAGTTGACTGCGAGCTTGTACATAAGACTCATTAAGTCCCATCAGGAATTGTAGAAGCTTTTGACGCTCCATAAACTGAACAAAGTCACGAGAATTTGCAGTATCATGACCAGGAATTGGTGCCAAACTGTCAAACTCTGCCCAAAGTACTCTCAATTTTGAGTAATAAGTGGAAATTGAGCTAGTGCCTTGCCTAGCTGTAGCAATTTCTCTATGGATCTGAAAAATCCTAGAACAATCAACTTTGTCAAAACGCTCCTTCAAATCATCCCAAACTTCTCTAGCATTTGAGGAATACACCAATCCACTCAACAACTCCGGTGAAACACAGTTCATCAACCAGGATAAAACAATCGCATTACATCGTTCCCAGAGATCAATGAGATTCGTACCGTTATTCTCCTTTTTGCATGTCCCGTCGATGAAACCCAGCTTGTTTCGACATAGAATTGCAATTCGCATTGCCCGACTCCACAAAGAGTAGTTTTTGGTCCTCTCAATTGTAATGAAATCAAAACAGCTCCTGAATTATCATTTGAATTCAGGAAGAGTGGATGATTATGACCTAACTTCTCTGGTTCAGTTTATCGAGATTCGCCATTGTTGATCCTTCAAATGAGCTTCGTGAAATCTGAATTGAGGATGAAACTAAGACCACACTAATGACTGTGTGGCTCTGATACCATGAAGAAATCAGCTAACCATGGAGATTTGCCATGGATGAGAAGCTGTAAATCTAGGTTAGAGAGAAGAAATGTAGTTCGATATTTCAGAGGAAGAAGAAGAAGAAGAAGATGTATTGATTCAACTGTTTTCAGTATCTGTACATGCAAATATATAAAATCAACTCTAATACTTAACTAGAGTTAAAATTAAAGCTAACTTGAGTTACACTAACTTTGTTCTAAGGTAAGTTAGTTACAACTAATCTAACACTAACTAATGAAACTTAACCACCACAATCATTACTAATCTCAACAAATTCTCTTTGCAATTTCTGACCATTGAAACTTGTTCCAATTTGCTTTTCTGCCTCCACTAACATCAACTCTTCCTTCACTCCATGTATCTTTTTGGGAAAGAAAAAAAAAGATAGATAAAAGACATCAAAATTAATTAATTAATTAAATGGAAAAAAAGATGATGTTCATGAACTACAAGAAATTTATCTAATTAATTTCTTTTCTCAATGAGATGGATTCCCTTTTATAGAGAATTTTGATGCTTTGTTGAAGAAAAGTTTAATCAGGTAAAAATTGAGGATAAAAATATATCGGTCAAGCAGCGTAATTAGAAGAATAAAATTAATTCAGAAAAACAGACCCTAAAATACTTTTTGAAGTACGTACGTACTTGACTATACTAAGAAAAGAAAACTTTAAGCTTTACAAGGGAAAATATATTAACAGAATAAAATAATAGGAAAGAAAACCTTGATATCAGGACTGGACGTGGATGATTAAGCCATATCTCTCGACAGTATTCCCTGCCGTTGATCTTTGAACCCATCCAAACGTACGGTTCATAAACGAGGTAACTGTTTTTTTTGTCATAAAGATAACATATATTAGCACTTAGTAACCGCGTACATATGGCTGGGGCCTAACTGGCACCCTATCACAAACCATTGTTGTATTACAAAGCCGTAAACTAATACGAGTATTTACAGTTGTCTGAATAATCATCATGACAACTAATTACACACGAGTGTCGATGATTCATATTGCCACTGTAATTTTGCCAAGCATTGTCTTGGCCTGATTGAGTTCCTTCCAAAGAAGCCTTGTCCTTTGCAAAAGTTGGTTCAACAAAAATAGGAACATTTTCAAAAACTGTTGGCAGATATTCATTTCCAAAATGGTGGCCCCCTTTTGCTAGTTGGTCTGCTACCATGTTCTGCTCTCTGTACGCATGTTTGACTACAGGATTATCTAGCTGGCCCAGATAGTACCTGCAATCAGCAATTATGTTCGAGAACACAATATTTTCAGAATGTAATAATAGTATAAGATCCTTTGCATCCACCTCCACCTCCAGAGGTGCGATGTTATTTTCATAAGCTAATTTCAAGCCCTGTGTTAAGGCATAGAGCTCCGCAAAAATGGATGAATCATGTGGTGCAGATCCAGAGAAACCTAAGATCCATTCAGCTTTGGAGTTCCT